ATTGTTATAATATCCCAGGCCATGTAACATCTAAATTCAAAAAAGCTTTCACTTACACAGCACATTATTTGTTGAATAAATATGTAAACGTTTTCCAAATTACTTCCAGTAGTAATTTCAGAAAGGAATTCAAAAATGTGCTTCTCCAGTTACAAGCTTCTGAAGCTGAAGATTAGGAACTTACGATTCAATATTGTATTTTAATTAAAATGGTACCTCAATTTTATAGATTACATTACATCTATGTAAAATTAGAGATAAGATGAATCGCATGTTTTTTAATTGTTTTAATTTATTGAATCTCTCTGCAATTGCTGTAGGCGACGGTGAAAAGTGGCAATGCTAATACCCAGCCTTTTGGAGTGGTTTTTTTAATGTATACTAAGTGACATATAAATCCGAACACCCAGTTTAAATGGTTTTATTTTAATAAAAGTTGGTGAATGTATTTATCTCACTGTAAATAACAAGTGAAAAAATGTTCAGCCTTATCAGATGGACATTCCGGTTTTTATACTGCTTTTTTTTAATTCACTAACGCTCTAAAAATGAATATTTCAGCCGCAGTAAAGAATCAACGTTGGCGGATTTTGGTTCTTGACATCCTTTACGATCGGTTACGATGCCTAGAGTACGGAGACCTGTACGATTTCGTCAACTTAGTGAGTTTGATAGGGGCCGTATAGTGCGACTTCGGGAAGCTGGACTTTCTTTTCGGGCAATTGCAGTTAGAGTGCAAAGAAGTGTAGACACTGTGGTTAGGTGTTGTCAGGCATGGCTTCGAGAAGGCCGTACGCAAAGAGCAAGGGGCACTGGACGCCGCCGTAGAACAACAGACCGTGAAGATCGCCGCCTAAGATTATTGGCCTTAAGGGACCGTTTCTCCACTACCAGGTCCATTGCAAATGAATGGTTTGCAGAACACGGAAGACCTATTGGCATGCGAAGTGTTTACCGACGAATGAGAAGTTTAGGCTTGTTTTCATACCGGCCACACTGGGTCCTCCCTTTAACTCGAGAACTCCGACGTAATCGCCTTGAGTGGTGCAGACAACGGTCACTCTGGGATCAGGAATGGAACAGTATTGTCTTTAGTGACGAGTCTAGATTTTGTTTAGGCATGCACGATGGTCGTGCCAGGGTTGGAAGGCGACGTGGTGAAAGGAGGAATCCACAGTTTTTTGTTGAAAGACATGTTCATCACACTGTTGGAGTTATGGTTTGGGGTGCTATAGCTTATGGTTCCAGGTCACCTTTAATCTTCATCAGAGGTAACATGAACGCGCAGCGTTATATCCACGAAGTTCTAGAACCTATCTTGACACCCTGGCAGATCCAACTTTCCAACAAGATAATGCCCGACCACATGTTGCAAGAGTCACAATAGACTTCTTTCAACATAATGATGTCACATTGTTACCATGGCCACCAAGATCTCCCGACTTATCCCCAATTGAGCACGTGTGGGATATGATGGGTAGGAGATTGCTCAATTTGCAACGTCCTCCTCAGACTCTAGAAGCACTTCGAGAGGAGTTGCTTGTTGCCTGGAATGAGATACCACAGGAGGACATTGACCACCTGATCAGAAGCATGCCTAGGCGCGTTGGAGAATGCGTAGCACATCAGGGTGCATCCACACATTATTAAAGGTCAAAGGGCTTTAAAGCAGTGCAATCATTTTGAAATTTTTATCATTTACTTATTATACTTCATTAAGTACTTATACAAAATTTTATTAAAATAAAACCATTTAAACTGGCTGTTCGGATTTATATGTCACTTAGTATATATTTACTTTGAAGTTGAGTCATTAATTTTCAGATAATGATTGTAGAAGGAAGATAAACCAAAATATGTGTGTAAAAATAAAAAAAAAAATTTACCTTGTTTTATAAAGTATCCTCCCGACAAGTATTTCAGTGCGGACCTGTATTTGATCGTGAGGTCTTGGAGCACCGGCATGCCCTCCCCTGTGAGGTCTTAAGTCACCTGATTCACGAGCCCGTTGTACTACATTAACAAAGGCACGAGGGGTTGGTTGCACTCGATTGGGAAACCGAACAGCATAAACATGCCATTTTTTATTTCGTTTGAGCCACGCAGCAAACACCACTATTCACTCACGCGTTACCGACTGACACATTGACTGAATAAAAACATCGTGATCAGCGTTTCAAATTCTTTCGCTTTTTTGTTTCCGATGCGATGAACCGATAAGGCGTATTTGCCAAACACGAGCACATAATATTATTATTGAGACAGGGCGGTACTCAAACTTCTAAAGGGCTATAACTTTGTTACTTTGAATTTGCCACAAAAATGTTAAAGGAAAAACATTTCTTTTGATCAGATCTACTCACTGTTAAAATAAATGACTCAACTTCGAAGTCACCCTGTATATTCATTTTGTATAAGTGCTCCAATAGACATTATTATTATTATTATTATTATTATTATTATTATTATTATTATGTCCTGTTTATCACTTTTTGGGCGAAAAAACATGACTATTTTATAAAAGGCACTTATTTCCATATGTCATTTAAAATCAAAAACCACAAAAAAATAGTTATAGTCGCCTAAGCACGTCAAATCGTTCATAGTTGAGGCCTGGTACCTCTCGGGGTGGTAAGAAGAAAATTGCTTGACTGCAAAGTGTCACTACTTTCCGTAGTCTGTATACTATACTCTTTTCCAAGCAGTCTAGTCAGTGAGGAACCATCAATTAACTTTCCCAGTGTTTATCTTAATGGTCAAGGTGACATCAGGGCTAATGAACTTAATAATAAAAAACTATTATTTATCAGTCATATGACTTATGCAACATCGGGAAGGCCTATTATACATTATCATTACAAAGCAATGAACTGTTCACGTTTTTATTTTCGACACCCTTATTGAAATTTTCTGTTTGAATTTTATAGAAAAGATAGATATATCGAAAGCGTTATCTGTGTCTTCGATTTCCTATGCATTTCGGGATTTCCCAAGATATCGAGAGCTACATAGGTCGACTTTGGAATCACACACACAAATATGGTGTAGTTCAATGTTCGCAGGATAGTGTTTTTTATTTATGGGGGTGTTCCAGCGGTTTCAATACTAAATTTATTGAAAGAAAGTTACAAACATTATCGATATTGTTGTGCCACAAATAGGGATATTCATCTTGATTTGAATGTCCTGTGGTAAACGACGATTTTAGTATTCTGACCGTATACGTTTTTTCTAAAGGTTCCTAATGTGTTCTCCAATAAATTAAAGCTCCTTAGAACAATAGCCAAGGTTGCAGCACATTTTTACCGGAATCAGCTATCTGTTTTGGATTATTTTCAGGAAATATCGCCGTCTTTTCCAGTAGGGGAGAAGGGGGCAAGTTGTTACAAAATTAATATAGTTATTTATTTGGGCAAAAGTTGTTCTTTTATATGAAAACTAAAATTGGAGAAAGGTACCACATATATCTGTACATGTATTATCAATTTTATTTTATAATTTTTTTGTACTTGGTAATTATAAGTTCAAGTAACTTTGTAAACTATAACAACTTGCCCCTCTGTCGGGCAAATTGTTACAGTCTAAGGTGTAAGATGATACAAGAAAAAAAACTCAAAAACTTCAAAAAACAATTTTGATAAATGGTCTTGGAAGGAACCTTTATTTAGCAACACAAAAAACATTCGGAACATTACATAAAGTAAAATAAAAAAAATTAAATGAAACTTTTGTAAAAACAAAAACCTTAAGAAACTTGTAAAGGAAAGTTAAACTAATCACTATCGGACAAGCAGTGAATACAAACATAAAAATAGATATCTTTGCCACAACCTACAAGCGCCCACCCTTTACAGACAATCCACTGGATCCACTCTTCATTTCTAGAATGTGAAAATGGAGTTAAACATATCAGACATGCCGATTCTTCATCCTCTTCTGAGCTTGTAGAATCTATTTTTTAAGGGTCTTTTCAGCGCTCTGTTTCTTACATTTAGACTTTGCCCCACTTGTTAATTCACCTGATATGTTTCTTTTAGTTGCTCCCACATTTTTTTTTCTTTGTCTTGTCCTTTCTTCCTCCTCTAAAGCAGATTTAATCGGAGTGTCTGTCAAAATTGCGGAAACTCTTTTCTTCCGACCTACTTTTGATTTTCTTGGTATGGCTTTTGGGTAAGGTTTTAATTCTCGGGGCGTTATATGAGTACCAGTAGATAGTAAATCAACAGATTTATCTAACGATAAGCTGCAAGCTGAACTCGTAGAAGGTTGTGGGGTTCTTTGGCTTTCCCTATTAAATTCTGGTTCAGGACTTATTTCCATTGCTGTGTTAATATTTTCTGGCTTTGGCCTGTCTGTTACTTCTGAGGGTAAGAATTCATCATCTTGAAATATTTGTCTGTTGAAAGGCCAAATTCCAGTCACCTTAAATCCTTTTTGTATATTTACTTGTACTTTACCTGGATTAGATCTTAACCATGCATCTGCAGCACTATTGAAATATCTTTTAAGTGGGCCAAATACAGTGCGATCAAGGGGCTGCAGCTTGTGAGATGTGTGGGGCGGGAAACTTAAAAGAACAACTCCATTAACTTTGCAAAAGAGGGATAGATAAATGTGATTCATGATTATCTAAGACCATTAAAACTGGTTTCTCTTTGCTACAGCGGACAAATTGGACAAAATGTTTCATAAACAACAAACAATTTTCACATGTCATCCACCCAGAGGAATGGGATGCACCGAGACAACCAGGAGGCCCATTTGCTACCATGCATCCTTAAATTTTTTCCGTGGAAATATTATGAATGGAGGTACGAAATTGCCATTTGCGTTAACCGCTAATGCCAAGGTAACAAGTTGACCCCTTTCTCCAGAAGTGATAGCGCCTACCTGCTTAGTTCCCCTTTTTGCTATGATTTTTGTGGGCCTTTGGACCGTGGTAAGTCCAGTCTCGTCCATATTATAGACATCTTGAAGCTGGAATTTATATTTATCATAAACCTTGCCAAGATTATTGAAAAACTGCGACACATTATGGCGATTAAACGCAGTGGCTCTGCCCATACTAGTAGCTTCGGATGTTCTGACAGATAAAGTTTGATGCCTCTTCAGAAATCCATATAACCAATCCTTGGAAGCTATTTCTTTCACCTTCCAATTTTCTGGAACAGATATGTTGTTTGCTATCGCAAAATGAAATGCAAGTTTGCGCAAATCAGAAGTTGTAAGACCGTAATAAATTTTAGCGGAATACTCTGTGTATTTCGCAAGTTCCTGTTCTTCGGCATCGTTAAATATTTTTCTGTGCGTAGCGTATCCAACTAAGCACTTGCTTCTGTTTTCAAGGTTTAGGGCTAACTTTTTTTTCATATAGCGGTGTAACGTCATAAAATTAACCCCGTAGCGAGTAGCAGCATCTCTAATTGATATTTTTTCGTGTAATATGGCCTGCATGGCACTTTCATATTGTTCAATTGGAATAATACCTCTTGCAGTTTTCTTCTTGTACGTTCGCACCATGTTCAAGAACCTGAAAACAACAAAAACAATTTTATTGTGTAAATTTTAGTGGAATGGAAAATTATAGTACTTGCATTAAAATATATGGGGCAAGTTGTTACAGTAACAACCTGCCCCCAAATTATTGTAACAACTTGCCCCGCGTGCACAAAATGAGGTTAGGTCAATGTTTTTTGGTAAGTATTGTGAATCAGGTAAAGACAACGGCATGCAAATAAAGAGAAAAATATAGGCTCCAGAACGGTATAATATACATATTTATACTACTTACCAATTTTTCACAAACGGAAACAAAAGCGAACAGACAACGGTACAGTTTTATAACTGAAACAACATTATACACGAAAACACCATGAAGGACGTACACATGAGTATAACTGTTAGTGTACAGATGGCGGGTCGGCAGAGCCAATCTCTTGTACATTTTCAGGCAACCCGTCGTACTTGCTGCGCTTTAAAATGATTATGTAACAACTTGCCCTCGTAACAACTTGCCCCCTTCTCCCCTACTAGTGTGCTTACGATATCTGCGAATCTTATTTTTTATATACAAGATGTTACTACTATATAGTTTTCCGTAAAAGTCAATAAAGTTCTTCAAGCAACGACTATACTGCCGTACCTAAGTAAAAGTTCATTTATTGTCTTTTTTTAAATTTCGACCCCAATTTTTATGATTACAATTGCATGATATATCATTGATCACGTTATTTAACAAAAATAGTCAGTTTTTTGGTTTGGCATATCTCTCATATTAGCTACATTTCCTAAGCATAAATCCACTTATTAATCAAAGCAAAAACGCTGTAGTCTTCAAACTATACTGTTTTCTCTGTATGATACTAGTACTTTCGTCTTATCCTTTTATAAGCTATTACAGTGTTTGCTTATTTAGTTTTTTAGTAACAATTCTATTCTATAATTTTGAAAATTATCCTTCGTTTAACTTAGTTTATAGTTTATTTATGTAATTATTTTTGTTAAATGTTATATTAAATGTAATCATACAATTACGAAATTGAATAATTACATGATGAAAAGGTTTACTTATGTGCTATTTATGTAAAACTCAATATGAATAAATTATGAAATGAACAAATAATTTAAAAATATCCTGAAAACTACGAAAAAAGGTAGTAAATTTCATTTCTGCAGCGTATAGAAGCAGTAAGTCACATGTTACCGCTTTTCGATTTACAACAATTAGAAACGGAATGTCGTTTATTTTAGCCCTATCAACAATTATAATCCGAGATCACATTTAAATGAATAAATAAATGAAATAATATTCGTTCACTTTTGTTCTGTCGTAATAATACTATTTATTCGAGAATTATTCACTCAATTTTCTCAGTCTGCAATGTTTTTACTGGCATTTAGCAGTTTAAGCCCCAATCAGATTGCGATCTTCACATTTCTGAATTTTTATTTTTCCCATTAACACTCCAAAAACAACAAGTGTCAGAAAATAAAATAAACAAAGTGCAGCAAAAGTCGAAAACTAAAGTGAATAACTAGTTTTCCGGTGTCCACAAAAAAACTCATAAGTAACGGTAATTAAGGTTTCGCCCTTCCCAAATCTGACCTATTCCCGCCACATCAAGCAGTTTTAGTTTATGTTTCTTTACTAACCTCCCCTCAAAGGCACTCAGAAACGTATAGGGTTTAATTTCATTGTTCGTGGTAACCATATTCTATAAAGTAATTTTTCGAAATTTGAGCATGATGGGAAATGTCCCAAGTACAAAAATTTAGGTTACCAAGCACATGCCTTTTGAATGGTTAACAAAAGTGCTAGGAATACACTGAAATATTGTATCAAAAACATATCTTGTAATGTCAAAATATGGCTTGAAAGCAAGACATTAAATACGTATACGTCATCAAAAAAATTGTCTAAGAAGCAAAAATGTTTTTGTTTTGTCACTTTCTGGGAAGAGTAAATCAATTTTGAGAATGAAGGAACCTTTCAAAAACGCAAATATAGCTTTGATATCACTCTCAGTAGCTGAAATATCCCAGAGTAAGTCACACCACCGAGTACCTGGTCGGTGCATCCGTACCGTTTAAGCACAAAGCTTTCCGATATATCAAGAAAATCAAGCCGCACAAACTAGTCTAGTGTTTTGTATGTAGCAGCGTATCTTAGTGACGGTATTATTTATAGTTATCTATTGATACTAAATCAATTCGATGACTAGAATTAGTTTGTAAGGAGTCACAGAAAAAATGCTGTTGATCAAACATTGATCCTGTTTAAATATTCGGACGTCAATGTCACTATGAACAAAAAACCATTAACAAGCGAGAGGGAACCACGTGATTTCGCCTAACAACCAGGAGCTGTCAAGAGATCATGCATTCATCAGCATCGAACCAAATATCAACTAATTTGCATTCATAAATAAATTTTAGTTATTCGCAGAGGTCATTAGACTCTATTGTACCACCAAAATAACGATATTAGCGATACACGTGGAAAATATTAAGATTCTAGGTATCAGGATTCTTCAAAGCTGATGAAATGACGATATTTATAACGTATATAATACTTCTCCGATTAGTGGACTTAACGCGCACGCTCTGATGCACATAGTAAACCGGAGCTGTCGACGCGTTCGCTTCAGCCAGAAGCAGCGACAAACACCGCAGTAATTGGTGCGACTGTGATTTCAGAGCGGTTAACTGCGTTGATATGAGCATTGTTCAGCAATGAAGTACTTAAATATATTATGGTTCTGTATGTGGATAACTGCGTTGAGTCAGAACAATGGTGTTGAAAATAACTTCACCGAAAAAGCTTCCCATAGTACGGAAGCTACTGTTCGGATTCTAATTTTCACACAAAGCCAGGGGCATTCGAGTACTACATAAGCATTTTATTACAGTTATTAACTCCCTAGTCCTTGTCAGCAAAAATAAGCAAATATCTTAACCCCTTCCCTCCTTCCCATGCTAGCGTACACATTTTGGTATGCTTTTCACGCACATGATATGAATACCATTTATTGTCTGGAAAATCAGGAAGTTCTGGGTCGCTCGATCCAACATTGCAGTAACATCATCAATTTCCATTGAATTTCATACCTCTGCTAAGACAATTTAATGTACGACGCGAAATTGGATCTTTCTAATTGTAACAACACTTTTATTTAAATAAGACTCAAAATGTTCCAGACTAAGGACTCAGTGCATAAGTATTCCGATACGTGGATCGTTTCTTACAATTATTCAGAATAATAGTGAAAATAAAATCGTATTTTTCCCGTGTTACTTGATCAAAAATGACGCGGTTCACAGGATCAATGGCATTCTTGATCGAAAAATAAAAACTAGAATAAAAATGACTTTATTTGTCAAATATTGAAAAGTGAGGCGTTGTTGACTTCAGAATATTATTCTCGATCGAAATCAGTAAAAATATATAGGGTGTCCCATTTAAAAATCGAAAGTTGGTGTCGTTTCTGGTCAAACCGAAAGTATGTTAACGCAAGCGAATATCTCAAAAAATGTCAGCTCATCTATAGTACGCAACCCCCAAATTTCGAGCTACCTTAGATAGCCACCCGGTATACATGTGCAGTAGGTGAATATGCAAATAACTTTTTCTTCAAACTCACCCTTCGAAACGCTTTTGACTCCGAACGTAAGAGTCTCAAACTCGATGCTAAACCTCTTGGTCGGCACAAGACTTCGTCGTTTCACATTCATCTTGTACCGGAGTCAAACACAATCATCCACGAAAAACCTATTGTGGCAACAAGCACGGCACCGCCTGATATGGAACTATTTTTTGTAATATTAGACTATTTGTTTTATAAGGATCACTCCCACCAATAGCGGAAATGGGCGGGAAAGCAGAGCCTGTCATTTTGCTATTGTTTAGTTGGTTGACAAGATAATGATCATACGGGTCCCCGGATTTTCGCGAATAACGAGCAGGTTTTGGATGATTATGAAAACGTGTTTAGTTTATATAATCTTTAATTGGACTGATTCTTGGACTACATTAAAATTATCATGGCCAAACTACAGAGAAACAGCTTTCGAAAAACGTGATTTCTTTTTTGATGAGAAGGCAGAAACTGCACTGGGCTTGATGCCAATTTTTTAAAACAACGCTGAATTACATTTGGTTTTAGGGGTTGAATTGCACTAGTACCTATAATGAAAATAGGATTTTTTAGAGCAATCTACTTGTTTCTTTATAGTCGCCACGTTTTTTTAAATTCCTTGTAGTTAATTGGAGTTTGAGGTATAAACAAACACAGTTTCCTGTTATAGAGTTTCGGATGTTTTGGAAAAATGTATTTCCTTCAGGGCTCTACAAAAAATTGTTTGACAGAATAACTTTACACAGTGGCGTAGCGAAGGGGATGGCTGGGCGGCCTGCAACGGGTGTCACCCAACCGATGACTCAACTTTAAGAACAAATGTACACATATAAGAAAATGCACAGATTGTAAAGTTGAGGCTTAACTTTTGACGAAACTGCTACAAAAATAGAGGCACTTGGTCTTCATATTGAGGAAAAACGGGGTCACATTGTGGAAGAGGCAATAGATGTTGCTACAAAAAAATCAGAAGACGACTTCGTTGTAAAAGACGGGTGGTTGGTAAAGTGGCCAGTGATGCAGGGCTCACACTGAAAGAAGAACTTCAAAAATATATGTTGAAATGTCTTAACTGATTCAGATCTGAACTCTAGACAAGGTCGAAGTCTCTTCAAGACCTAGCTTCATCGTTCGAGATCGTAAAAAGAAATACTTTGCTTTTGACGAATCCTGAAGAACTGAAATTAGCTACATCCAGAGTTTTGGAGATACCAAGACTACGATTGGGTATCTCTAGATTTTTTAAGTTTATTGTAGAATCTCTTCCAAATCTTATGATTACACTAAAATTTTTCATGACGATTTGCGTGTTCGTAGCTTCATGTGAAAGGAACTTCAGTTAACTAAAATTAATAAAAAACTATTTGCGGGCAACAATGACCAAATCGCGGCTTATGAATCTTGAATCCGAAACAGATCAAGTAAACGTTATGACCAGCATACATGAAGGTATGTAAAGAAAAATTTACTTGGAATCTGTAGTTTATCACTGTTTACACCAGGTGCTGCGTCTTTTTTACCTTTTTTGATAATCAAACCGAAAGCAGTCAAAGCGAGTATGTGGTCGCCATTCCTAGTGCTGTAATGTTACTTTTTTTAATCTATTTGTACTGCCGATTACATGCACTAGCATGTCAAAATTTGGCCCTGTTATCCATTGGTTTGATCCCAAGGCCAAGAGGATTTACAACCTCTAATTGATGTTAAACGAATAAAAATCAAAATTGTGAAAATAACACCGTATCAAGTTGATTGCAAAAAGTCGCAAATACGATTTACTTACCCTGACCTCCGATTTTGGCCTCTAACGTGACGTCTTCAAATTCGATATCA